TTCTCAGCGAGCGCGGTATTCCGTGTGTATGCAGCATAACTGATAGCGTAGGATTTGAGTACTGCCGTTCTTGCAATCTGCGTTTTTGTAGGAAAAATAATGAAGCCTATCTATTCTTGCTTTCTTTTGTGCTTAGCTTCCCATGAACTTCATCCATCTGTTTTTGTGTCTGAATTAGTTATGACCGTTACTCGATGTCCATGAGCTTCGCCGGCTAATCATAACATGATATCGAGTTGAGGACTGTGGATTTCTAGTTCAGTTTTCTTCTGCATCGATTATGGTTTTTTGTGACTGGTACAGTTTGTTTGCGTAGCAAAAACTTCTGGAGCATTCCTCTACCAGTACAAAATTTTTGTTCAATTTTTTATGTAAATCTATACCGGAACGTTTTAGCGACTATATAAGAGATAAGTGTGCAAAACTTCGTTAGTTTTTAGAGTCTGTATTTGCTTTGGGGGAACATTCAAATGCTATTTTGCTAAATACAATTTGGTGCAAAAGCTTTTTTCACTTCATTTTTATGCATCAGAAGTAATATTTTTTTTGTATCAGAAGCCTACAGCTCAATGATTTTTAAACTCAGGATGACTTGTCGGAAAATATCTGGCGCGCGTGCAAATCCAGAACATGCAGAAAGTGAAAAAATGCGACAAAGAGCAGACAGTTTTGGAACGGGCATTGGTTTGTTGCATTACCATTTGCGGATTAACTTTATTGAATTGGGACACTTTTATTTTGTAAAAACTGATTATTATTAACATCTAGGCAGAAAAAGTCGGCAAAAATTAAAATTAAAATGAGATTTTGGCCGAAATGAATGATATTGTGCAGTCAGACCTCCTCTGTTGCACTTAACACTTTTAGTTTAGTTAGTGGACTGCTGCGTATGCTAAGGATAAGGACAATGAGCGAAAGTAAGACTAGCATAGATAGAGGTATGTTTTTTGTTTGATTTTTACGAGGTCTGAATAAATCACAGGAGATTAGTGTTTCATGGTGCTTTTTGCATGGGTATTCGAGCTTGGAAACCAGACAAGATGGAAAGCTAGAATCTTAGCAGAATATTTCTTGTTGATGTTTTTTTAGGCCTCATGAAAGTATGGCGGGAGTTTTATAACCTGAAAGCCAGTCAAAATAGAAAGTTTAAATTTTAGAGGGAGGGAAGGGGAGAAGATGCTTTTTATCCATAAGTAGAAATCGGCTTTCATTCCTGGTAGTTTAAAATCCTGGTAGTTTAAAATCGACTTTCATTTGCGTTCACGTCTCACGTACGGACACTCGGAATTTCCACGTGGGGCATTTTCGGGCTTAGCAACCAGAAAGTAAGAGAACTGAATTTTTTGGA